GAAACGACTAAACTAAAGATAGAAACCTGGAACTTACCCTTGTATATAAGTTTGAAGTTGATCTAGAAATTTGACTTTTAGTGACGAAAAATCTGAAGAACACCGTCGTAGAAAATGTTTAGCCACGAAAAATCTGATGAACATCTGTTGCTAAAAACTTTTGGTGACGAAAAAGCTTCAAATTTCTGGGCAAAACAGCAGCTGGGTTTTTATAGTTCAATTTGTTTATGTTATTCCCTTCCATTTTCAGTGCTCACCTTTATGTTATTCCCTTTCATTCATGCTTCCTCTTTTTCTGGCCTCCGCCATTGGAGTATGGGCGTGTCACTGTCATATACCATGAATTAACAAGCTCCCGAGGTATAGCTGCACCAGAAGATCTTAGACTCTCAACCAAATCTGGAAACAAGTTCTTATTCTCCTCACTTACAAACACAATTGCTGCACCCTCTTCTCCCAGCCTAGATGCCCTACCAATATGATGGACATACTCCTTCATGGAATTTGGCATGCTTAAAATCAACTCCACGGCCTAAAATCCCAGTGGCTACTTGGAATTGGCTGGAAACTAAATTTTATATATATTTTATAATTTTGGATTGATTTTTTATATATATTTTTCAACACATCAGGAATCAAAACGTATGTAAATTTTATATTAAAATCCACAATTTAATACCTAAAAACTAGAAATTAGATTAATTAAAGATATTCTCTATCTCATTTTGACCTTTCCTTAGTGAAACTTGCATCCCTTTCTTCTTCAAAGTGAAAAAGAAAGAAAAGGATTATAAATAAAAAAAAGCCTCATAGCAACTTGGTGGATGTATAGCTAAGAGGTGAATCTCATAGTCCTTGTATTTGTGTACATTTAACTATTTGTTCTCTCTATAGACTATAATTATATGTCTCACTTACCTTCATTCCTATTCATGTGTGGCTATTATTAAATTTCCCATTCAGTGAATGCGCTTGAAATCACAAGGCCAATTGATGCCATTGCTACTGGTTTGCTGATTCAATTTATAATTTTAGATTGATTTGACGATTATATCCATGGATTTAACAGTTTTTTTGACAGGACTATTTAAGAGTACCTATATTAACGTTAGGGACCATGAGCGATACAAAAAAACTTTAAGGATGCAATGTGATAGTTTCGCAAACGTCAGGGACGTTTTGTGATAAAAAACCTAAATAAAAAAAGCCTCATAGCAACTTGGTGGATGTATAGCTAAGAGGTGAATCTCATAGTCCTTGTATTTGTGTACATTTAACTATTTGTTCTCTCTATAGACTATAATTATATGTCTCACTTACCTTCATTCCTATTCATGTGTGGCTATTATTAAATTTCCCATTCAGTGAATGCGCTTGAAATCACAAGGCCAATTGATGCCATTGCTACTGGTTTGCTGATTCAATGAACCAAGAACATAACATTAACTGAAGTCAGTCTTGTATTCTGCAAACATCTGATATCTAGGATTATCTCCATTGTTTATTGTCTGGTCCAATCAAAATCATGGACATTTCTCTTCTTCTCTTTATAGTGGACAATACAAATTGGCCAGAACGTTTTTTTCCCTTATCCAATCTTTTTTGATTCCCTCCACCTTTGCTCACATGTAATGCTCCAAATCCACTTCTCCAATGTCACTCAGAAAAAAGAACCAAACTTTTATTCAGTCACTTGGGTTAATTTTATCATATTCTCCTCGAAACACATCTCGATGATAATGCTTCAATAACTTATTACTTTTACTTTGCATCGAGAATCTAATAACCTGCAAACAACTTCTTTTTTATTTATTTTTTTAATTTTCTATATCTTTGTAATTTGGCACACCTGATCATATACAGCACATGAGCGATTTTAATATCTAATGTGAAAGTTTGCATCTTTATTAAGATCTATGGAGAAGAAGATCTATATGTGCAACAAAATTTGGGTCACAATCTTTGGAAAGATCTTGTACATGAGAATTGGTCGGATTTGAGACAAGCATTACATGGTTTAGTCAAAAGGGTTACATAATCCCACATTGCTAAATTAGGTCCAGCAATCTGCCTATCAAGCTAAGTTTGGACTTCTCAATGGCATACCACAGAAAAATTTGCAGGGATGTGCCCCACAATTGAAGAAGATAGGGGAAACATTGTGGATGCCAATTGGACATGGATTGGCCTTTGTGAACTGTGTCCCATACCATGTGGTCTTGCTAGTTGAGCTTCTCTGCCCAACATTATCTAATTGTTACTTTTCTTCTTTCTCTGATATTATATTTCCTTCCAGCATGATGGAAAGTTCCCCAGTCTAGGGCAAGGGACCACTTCCTTAACCCTATTTATGGATCTTGTTTCCTGTCTGTTTGATTGAGAGAGTTCAATATTCATCTTCATGTAGATGATAGTGACTTTCCAGATTCCGTAACAACTAGATAATTTTAACACTAGGGTTTCGAGTGGAGACATATGATCCTCAAGCATATAAAATTTCTGGTTCAAAAGCAACCAAATGAAAGCAGAGATGAACTGCACTTACAACTCATCACAGGGCTTGTATTATTTGCAGACAACATAACAAAAGAAGGGAGCTTTATGTGAATTCAGGTAATTATGGCAGGGCACATGGGAAGAGATTCTCATACTAATTTGTGTTAATGGCATTGGAAACTTAATTATCATATACTATTGTGAGGACCATATGGACTCATTATGATAGTTGCTGAGATCTCATGACAATATAACTTTAATTATTTGGAAAAATCTTCCTGACATTCTTTACAAAATTATCAACATGATCGTCATTGATCTGTGTGATTATTACTTTGTTGCTGAAATCTTTTCCAAAATTCATTTTTAATATTGTAATTAACTAAAGCTGTTCCATGAAGCCGTCCTAGCTAGATGATAAAACCAGACCTGCCAAGATTAGGCAACATACAAATTGCAGTTAGAAAACGATAAGTTAAATTCATGCCAACTAGTTTGTTGTTGTTGACCCCAAAAAGACGAATTTAGAATCTTTCCATGTTGGCTGTTGCAATTCAGGCCTCTCTCTCTTAATGTTTGGTTTAGGATGTCTTTTTGGTGTGATGCTTGTTGAGCACATCATTTAGGAACAACTTTTATTTCATTGGCAAGCCAGGCATGAAATGATTATCTTTAATTATATATTGTAAAGTTACTTGAGTATGGCCACAATATTCATTTGTAAGACTGGTTGGCCATAGCTGGTATTGTTTAGCAGTTGGCTCTAGTGACTTTGTGATTATGATCGTGATGATATAAACTAATATACATTATTGGTTCAATCTCTAATAGCTTCTAAATTGATATTGAAATTAATTTGCAAGAGGTTTTGTGTTCAATCCTCTCATTCCCCACTTTTTTCTTGGTTTGCAGGGTGCATCGTAGGGGTTGCGCTTATATA